GGCTTCGCCAGCAGACCAGGGAGACGGGGAGCAGCTTTTCTCGCCCCGGAGAAGGCGGGCGGCGGGACCAGGCGTCCCGCTGCTCTAGTTTTCTGGGGCGAGAAATCCCCGTTCGTAACTATGGATCCGACATAAGTCGGATCCGCATAACTCGGGGACTGCCTGTATATGACACACAAATTAGGCATGAGTTTTGTCTCCATAAAACTCATGGGGGACATGGAGGTAAATTGTCATCTATGTGGCTGTGTGATTTTAGAACTTCTAATCCCTATTTTAATTATTTTAAATGTTTCATGCAGTATCATAAAATGTAATAGAAATAGCCCTCCTTCAATTCAACACATGCATAAAGCACAACTTTATAGGGTATTACAAGACAACATACAGTGTTTTATCTTTATAGATCTTATGTATTTTTTATTTGTCTTACAATTTCTGAGCTTATAGGGTGCACTGGCGTCAAGCCCTTCTCTGTAGTCATGAGGGTTAGAATCTTTTATTTTAAATGAGCTTTTCACAAAATCACTAGACTCCAGGAGCTGTAGTTTTAAGAAAGATGACAAATGTTCTGATACTTCAATCAAATTTGTGAAAGTTGGCAACAGTGGGGATTTTAGAATTCCCTTTTAGGCCACAGAGCTACAAAAGTGCATAAGCGGTTAAAGGGCCAAAATAGTGTGATCTGACAGAGAAGTTTCTGAGTTCTTTAGCTGGAGACATGCCATTTGACTAGATGGGGATAAGGAGACTGAAACCAGCTAAGCTGCCTAATAATAATTTCAGGAGAAGAAGATCTGGTACTTGTCATGCAACCCTGAGACTGGATTGCATCAGCCTCCTAAAAGAAGCTGGAAGGAGGAGGATCTCCCACTAAGAGAAGGCAGAAGAGAGAAACTGGTACTTATTTTTTGTGTGCAAATAAATAACTATACTTTCAGATACTTATCCCTCCTACATCCAAGCTCTGTAATCAATTGTTAATTTAAACTCCTGTCTGAGGGGTGAAAAACTAATGCTCTCTCTCAAACTACCAGCTTCCTGAGCTCTTTAACTAGTAGTAAGACTAATAGGAATGGAATTCTTTTAAAAGGATTAGCCATCCCCTTTAACATCTGACTCACTGCTACATGCAGATTCATGAAACTGTGAGATTCCTAACCCAAACATGTATGGAGATGAAATCTCTATCGTGTCAGGACACAGCTACTTCTCCCTGGTTTTTAGTGCCAAGGTAGGTTATTCTGCTTAGAGCTGGCTCTAATTAGTGTTCCCACAAGTTGAAAAATTCTTTATGTGCAACAAAGTTGCAGGACACTTTAGGAACATCCTCTCCTAACTAGGATTTAGATATAACCAAAGGAGAGCTTGGCCTTGGAATATCCTTCCCAGAAGCTAGATTGAGTGCCAAGTAAGCTCAGACAGGGCTTCGGGAGTTTATTCTGTAAAACATAGCCCTAGCATTCTGTTGGCCAGGGCAGAAGACACTTTGACTCCCCTGAACCTGAGTGCAAAAAACCAAACTCAAACCAAACGGGTGGCGCAGAAGTATGACACCTCTGGGAGTTGGTGCCCAGGGCCATTAGAGCTAGAATCACCTCTGTATTCATAACTGTTATAGCTACCCAGACAGTGAAGATGTAATTAATAAAGCTGCTAGTTATATACCTAAAGATGAAGTCTATTTATTCTGAATCAGAGAGCTCCGGGTCACGTAAAGCGTGAGAGGCACTGAGAAAGGTACAAAATTGCATTTGAAATCTTCAATGAAATCCTTACAACCAGATCTGTACAGCTGAATACTCCCATATCTGAATAAATGAGGAGAAAATGTATAACAACACCAAGAAAAAAATGGCTTCTAGAGAACCAGCTTTGATTTGTATTAGCAAAATGATTACGCCCAATAATAATTAGTAAAACCAAATGTCATGGTAGTTCTTCCTTAATAATGCTTGACTCTTTGTTAATCAGTATGTGGGAAAGTAGATGCTACTTTAGGGCATGTCTGCACTACAGCGTTATTTCAAAATAACTCATGTTATTTCAAAATAACAAGGCGAGCGTCCACACAGCAAGTCCGTTATTTTGAAATTATTTAAAAATAATAGACTTCTTATTTCGCAATAATAAATCCTCATTTCATGGTATATCTACACTTGTACCCTATTTCGAACTAGGGATGCAAATGCAGGCATTCAAAATAGTCAATGAAGCGGGGATTTAAATATCCCGTGCTTCATTAGCATGATCTCGCCGGTGCGTTACTCCGATCAACAGCTGTTTCAAAAGTGAAAGTGCGCGCCGGGACGTGTTAGTTCGAACCAAACCCCTTGGCTCAAACTAACATTACTTGAGGAGTAACATTAGTTTGAACCAAGGGGTTTGGTTCGAAATAACGCGTCCCAGCACGCGCTTTCACTTTCGAAACAGCTGGCATTCGGAGTAACTTGCCAGCGAGATCATGCTAATGAAGTGTGAGATATTTAAATCCCCGCTTCGTTCATTATTTTGAATGCCTACATTTGCATCCCTAGTTCGAACTAGGGTGCAAGTGTAGATATACCCATGAGGAATAACACCTATTTTGAAATTGCTATTTCGAAATAGCTGTACTATGGATGCTCTACAGCTGCTATTATTCTGAAATAACTTATTTTGAAATACCCATGTAGTATAGACATACCCTTAGGGTAAATCTATACTGAAAGCTTATTTTGAAATAAGATGTTCTGGAATAGTTATTCTGAAATAGCTTATTTTGAAATAGCACGTTTACACTGCAGGGAAGCCTCAAAATTAGTCCAAGACAAGCTTTCCTAGTGTGGATGTGCTATCTCGAATTTCTATCTATCTATTTACAGCCCCAGGAGGCACTGGGAAGGAATAACTTAAAATGGCCTCAGTGAGAGGTTATTTCAAAATAGCAGTAGTTGAGTGTCCCCACATGCCCTATTTTGAAACAGCTATTTCAGAACAGGCATTATTCCTTGTGGAATGAGATTTACAGAAGTTGGAATAAGCCATCCATTATTTTGAAATTATTTCAAAGTAATGGAATTGCTTTGTAGATGCTTGCATTATTATTTTGAAATAATGCTAGTTATCTCGAAATAATGGTACATTGTAGACACACCCTTAGTGTTCTATACATTAATGAATACACTTGCACATAACAGAAAAAAATGTTGTTATAAAGTTAAATATAATATAGGGCTATTTGAAAAAATTCAGCAACTGTTACCGATAGAAGATTGGGTTTTCAATTAAATAAAGTGAAATGAGAAGTGTCTGCTTACTGCAGAAAATTTAGTTTTTTGTTTAAATCTTTTGGCTTAAATATCTTAGTTTGAGATTTCAGTTGAAGATTTTTATGCGCTCTGAGAATTCAAACCAGCTCCACTGTGAAATGAGAACAACCTTTCACCTAGAACTGATTTGCAGTGATCAAGGTTATATAGGCGTAAGTTCAAAAAGATATGGAAAAGGAGTGGCTTAGTCAGTGATTTATAAACGAAACACAAAAGCTGTTAACAACAGAATCTTTAGGTACAATAGTTACTAACCAGAAAAAAATTGGCATTTATTTACTTGATGACATAATTCAGCTGTTTTCAGGTATGAAGTTATCTTAAACTGTGAGCTGAAAGTAAGATCCCACAAGAAGTGACGCTTCCTTTTGTAAGCATTAGCTATTACGCTGAGTTTTGCTTTACCTGCAAGGATATCCTGGATTAAGATGTTAGGCAGAGATTTAAAGCATTGATTTGATTTTTTCCCCTACACAAAGGCTGCAATAGATGTCTGCAAGCAATACAGGTGTATTTTAGTCAAATAATGGAAAAAATAGCTGTATTTTACAGAATTGTTGTGATTTTATTTTTATGTAACTTCATTAGAACTCTGTTTCTTTGTGGATTTTAAGTTATAGAGCTATTATGACCTAGAATTTATCAGAACAGCATGTTTTGAAGGAAGCTGTAAAACTTTTTTTATTTTGCAACTAGAAATATGCATGTACTTTTCTTAATATTAGTAAATGAGCAGAGCTAACATGAGCCAGATATTAATAGTTACAACAGCTATGATCAGTCCTGCACATGTATTTGGGAAAAAAATCACATGCTACTGAACACAAAGCTGTTGATAGCCTACGGTGAGTGTAGATCTTATGTTATTGTCTGCTCTTAAATTAGCACCACCCTTTTCATCACATTCATTCAGGAAATTCCACACCTTGTTATTGGCGTCACAGAGACTTAGTGGGATAAATCTCATGACTGGAATATTTGAATAAGGGATAATAGTTTATGCAGGGAGGACAGGCAGGTTAAAAAAGGAGGAGGTGTTGCATTGCATATCAAGAATGTATTTACTTGGTGTTGGGTCCAGAATGAGGTAGAAGGCCAACAAGTTGAAATTCTCTGTGTAAGGATAAAAGAGGAAAAATGGGGGTGACCTCATGGTAGGGATCGATTATAGACCACCAAATCAACTAAGGAAGTTTATGGGACATTTCTGGAACAAACCCCACTCTCGGAGTGATGGCCAGTGTGGGGCGACAGCTGGATCCCTAGAAGAAGAGCAGGTACCCTGGGAATGGGGCTCGCAGCACCTGCAGCTGGAACCTTGGGAGTGGGGTTAGAAAAGTCTGCAACATGGGGCAGCTAGCTCCCCGGGAGTGGGGCCAGTCCCTCCCTCCTTCCCTAGTCCCTCCCAGATAAAATCATGTAGCTGATAGGATTTTTAATGGTTACATGGGTACTGGTTTTTTATTATTTTTTACATCCCTAATTGAAATAAGTGGAAAGATACTGGAATAAATTATTAAACAATCAGTTTGTACACACCTGGAAGATAATAGGCTCATAAGTAATGGCCAACATGGATTTTTCAGGAACAAATCGTGCCAAACCTTAACAGATTTACTGGCCTAATAGGTAAGGGGAAGCATTAGAAGTGATAGATTTTGATTTTAGTAAGATTTTTGATACAGTCCCACATGATATTCTCAGAAGTGAACTAGGGAAATGCAGTATAGATGAAATTACTGTTAGATGAATGAAAGAGCGTAGTCAAAGAATCAGGGGCAAGGGGTGAGGGCGGTACACAGGGGGCCACTGGCCATATGACCTCTCCCTCCAACCCAGGGAAGGGCCAGGACAATCCCCCTCTGGATTCCAGCCCCAGGAATTGCCTCTCCCCACCTCTGGTTCCTCCCCCTCCATGCTTTTTCTCCCAACTGGAGCAGCTGAGGGGATTAATGGGGCTAGGTATCTGGTGCCAGCAGTGGGGGACTGTTCCCTGCACTTACTAGCAGCAGCATGCGATGGCATTAACAGAGCTGGGATTAGAACTGAAGTTTCCTAAGCCCCTAGTTAGGGCATAATTTACTAAGCCATGCTACCTTTATTAGTCATGTTAGGAAAGAGAATGTGTATTTATTAGGGAGTCTATTGGTTCTCCCAGTGCGTATATTGTCTGATGGCAAACTCAGCAAATGGTTGATAAACTTAAAAAACAACAAATGGTCTGGTAGCACTTTAAAGACTAACAAAACATGTAGATGGTATTGTGAGCTTTTATGCCCATGAAAGCTTATGATACCATCTTCATGTTTTGTTAGTCTTTAAAGTGCTACCAGACCATTTGTTGTTTTTTAAGTTTATCAACAAATCAAATTGCTATTGCTTATGTAGAAAATGTTCATATAGCCAGCATGGGCGCTGGAACATTTTAAAGTGAGGGTGCTGAAAGCCAGTGGTCCTTCTCCCTCCCCCTCCACCCCTTAAGTCCTGTCCATCACCTTCCACCCTCCAAAGCTGTGGCGAGGAGCAAGGCTGAGGCCCTGGATATGTGGATGGGAAACATGGACAAGGTTAAGGAAGCCAAGACTGGGACCCTGTGTAGGGGTCCAGGAGCAAAGCTCCTGATATGGGGCTGGTAGCAGTTGGGACCTGTGTGTGGACTCCAGGTACAGGGCTGTGAACAAAACCCTGGGCACAGGGCCAAAAGCATCCATGAGCTGATCCCTGGGTGCAGAGCTGGTATCAGCTGGGACTCCATGTGGTGAGCCACAGGCATGGGACTGGAGGCAGCCAGAGCCCTGCGTACAGGGCCAGGAGCAGAGCCCTGAGCACAGATCTAGCAGCAGCCAGAGCCCCAGGCATGGGTCCTGCACTGAGATTGCAGATGTAGGGTCAGGAATGGCACCTTAGCAGTTGGAAAGCAGTGCCAGGACCCTGGGAAGGGGGTGGTGTGTGGGACCTGCACAAAAACAGGGGCTGTCGTTATCTGTCTAATGGCATGCCTACACTGCAGTTGAAAACCCATGACACACATGCCAGCTGGCTCAGGCTAAAAGGCTGCAGTTTAACTGCAGTGTAGACGTTTGGCTTTGGGTTGCAGCCCAAACTCTGGGATCCTCTGACCTCGCAAGATCCTTAAGCCTGGACTCCAGCCTGAGCCTGAATGTCTACACAGCAATAAAACAGCCCCTTAGCCTGAGCTCCTGAACTAAGTCAGTTGGCACAGACCTGCTATTGGTGTATACATACTGTACAGGATAGGGGCGGACAAAATACAGCTCACAGGTCGGATCTGGCCCACCAAAAATTTGGATCCAGCCTGCCACCAATATCCTGTGGCCCAGTCCGACGCTCAGGAAGACTCCCTGCCTATTGTGCCCTCACATGCTGCTCAAAGTAGCCTACTGCTTGGGTTACTGTGAGCGTCTCTGTGCGGTGTGTGCCCATTTGGTGAGGGAGGGGGTCTCACCCTGCACCAGCACCATTCTCACAGATCCCATTGGCTGGAAACCTGCACTGTTACTCCACCCCCCTCCTAC